CTGCTCGGAAATCTGGTCGGCGGTGGATTTCTCCAGGTTGAAAAAAACATGCAAACTTTGACAATAATACCAATTTTTCTTCGAAAATCTGAGGGCTCATGCATATCCATCGACCAGCTAATTGTGGGGGAAATGTCACAGGAAAAAAGTTACGAAAACATTAGTTGCCAAAAACTAAAGTCACAAACCGTCCCAATTAGTCGGAACAAATGTGAATTGTGAAATAGGCATGTCGATTAATAGTTATTTCGGAATTCGGAAAATATTGTATACAATAACTTAAAGATGAACTGCTCGAAAAAAACACATAATTTGACGATAAAAACTAGTAGGTACTTGATAAAAATGATACAGGTAATAGTGACACAGTCACAAGTAAATGGCATTGATCGTAATGATGGCCCACTATCTCGTGCCGAGACATTATAAAAAACAAGGACTGTTATTTCTTTTAGCAATCACGGTGTAGTTGGAAATATCTGAAACTGTGGTATTTCAAACACTTTTAAAGAGCATTACCAAGGCTATAACTAAGAGTAATGACTGATTCCTTTTAATAACATTGGCGTCGATGGAAAAATCTGACAACGGTGTAGTTTTACACACATCTAATGCACGTTACCAAGGTTACAACAAAGGCGAACGGAAGTCTCGGCCACCATTTTCAACCCCATATTTATCGATCACATACATGTTTTTTGACTTGTGGGTTAAATTGCCCAATGTCCCCTGGATTACGCCATATATCAACTATCCCAAAATGATAACTAGCAATACACACAGACCGTGATAGTGGCCGGGAAGAGACCTACTAAAAAGACATCGAAATTGTATAATCGTGTGTTTTAGTAATTTAATTGGCATTTCCTAGTTAATTGGCATTTTATGAAGAAAAAACAAAACGAAAAAAAAAAACAGTAAATAGGAAGCTCATATATACTGAATGGGGCACGTAAACGATGACGTTCATTGGCCGTCCGTCGCAGAATTTTATTCTCTAGAGGTTTATCGTTCCCTAACCGTGGGAACCCCAGCGAGTCTTTAGGAATAAAGTCCATTGTAAAACGCATTAATACAATAGCTGGAATGTCGTTAAGTTCAAAAACGCCATATGTTAGTTCAAGTCTGTGACACGGATACATCGCTATACCCGGCTACAGCTGTCCGTATTCGCTGAAATCAAACCCAACTCTTTAGTAATTTACGGATAAATATGCAGGCCATTGTTCAAAACTCAAAAAGCACGAAACAGGGCATCTCGCCTACGCAACACTCCGATACACCAGAAAGTGTAGACAATAGTTTGAATCAATTCCGCGGTTCTCCCAGGTATCTACTTCTGAATCTACAACTATGGTAACGATTGGTTTCGAAGGTCACGCCCCTCGATTCTTGAACCGTGTAAAACAACAGGTAAATTCAAGGTGAATTCTCACAGTTAAACAACAGATGTGTTTAGTGATTGTTTGTTCTCTGTTGCTGTCCTTGTGCTATCATCGTCACCGTCCCTTACGGTTGATTTGGACGATCGCCAATTTGGATGCAGCGTTTAGTACGTGCACCCAGCAACCACTCCAGGTGTCACTGTTTCGTATCATGGTTGCGTTCAAACTCAGACTAGTAATACAATGTATTACAATGTATTACTAGTCTGAGTTTCAAATTATACATATAGCAGAAGAGTTTTTTACCACGTACTGTCGGTGGTCTTCGCGCAGCGCGTCTTCGAATTTTATGTAAACAAATAATGTATTTTACACGCGTTGTGTACGGGACGCGGCTCGACGACCACCGCCCTTTAATAACAGTATTTACATATATGGTCTACTATGTACCTAACAACGCACCAATTCAGGCCATTCTACGTCCCGTGTACTCAGAATTATAGTTCCTCAATTATAGAGGGACTGAGTCACTCTCTATGATCCATGCTATGATACAGGAACTACTAGTATGGCAGAATGTAACGTTTCATTTTGATTGTTACCACGCAACTAAATAAACTTGTCACGTCGCTGTTACTAAAATCGAGTGTTAGTAACGATGGCCGTGTCACGTGTACCACAAGTACGAAAAATAACATTCTCCTTTCGCCACATTTACCAGGATGAGAAACATTGCGCCGGTAATTCGATGTTCGCGTTTTGTTCGCGTGTCATGGTTAAAAATCCCCGGATATGACTGAGTCAATCTCGATGTCGACGCGGCGTCATAAAAAAACAACATTAAAATGAACAATAACACATTGTATGTTTCGCCGTTTGAAGGTTTGTTTCAGAACCATCGTCAAGCTATTTTTCTATTTAAAAATGACGTCAGAAATGAAATTACAGTTCATGGTGGCATCCATTTAATGTTCGTTCAGCGACAGCGGGGTATTGAAACCAAAGCGGTCAATGACCCCAGTGAAACAGATTGAATCACTCCATCCATGAGCATGGTGAAGTCATTACTAAATCCGTACTAGTCTGTTCTGTCGGGACTGGCCTTATGAAGAGGATGTTCTGTTGTATGGATTCTCTCTGTGCGTGCTTTGTGTATAGACGGAAAGCGATTGTTATTAAATTTCAAATGTAGTGATTGGTCAAGCTGACCTATCGTGACATGACAATTGGTGTAATTCTACTTGGAACAGTGGGTGCTGTTCAATCCCACGGAAAACGAAGTCATATTTTCATGGTTTTTCGTCGAGACGCGTTTCTAGACGCGTTTTGGAAAGCCGTGAAAGGACACCCACATATTACACAAAAATAACACCTCGAAAATACAAGAATACGAAAATACGAGCGGGGTAATTATTTTGCGTCTTAGCTTTTTTCCGAATTTATAGCGTTGAGATCGATGCGATAAACGAAACAGAATCTCCGAGAGAGGGGGAGAAAGAAAAAGATGGGAAGAGAGAAACACCCTTTTTCAATCTATGATCCACGGATCTTTCATGCATGAGGTTGCGATTATATGGTTCTTACAAATTCCATTACACGTTTAGTCTCATTCATGGATATATGTATTATAATAATCTACTGATCACAAAAACTGTGCACAAATTATAAATTTATTTTAAAGAATCTGGGCATATCTATAATTAAAATGAAGAACCTATACCAATATAACCGTTGCTGTGTATATAACCCAAATAACGTCGCACCCCAGGAATGTGCGCACTTCGTAAATCCGTCCACACTTTCCGTACTTGCCGATACACCACGTATCGACTACCATTTGTCATGGACTACAGCTTTAAATATACACAACAATACCAATACCCTGACAGGCGTGTATACTTATGGAGTGTTTTTCTCACGACCTTTTAAATCCAACGTGTCACCTCAAAGTCTATGAGTATCTGAAACCAGACCACGGATTTGCTTTTTAGTTCATTCATTGATGTCACTCGAATCCGGTGCTATTTAGTAAGCGGGGCTTCTGGTTTGGTGTGGAATGGCCGCTAAAGGAGCTGCCCGTGGCTTAGCGTTTGCACCTGACACAGGGTCGATATTTCACCGGCTATCAAAGATCGGCAGTTAACACACTTACACGGCATTTTTAAAATAGTAAAAAGAAAAACGTGTTCAAACCCGCACAGGTGAGAACAATGTTATAGCGTCTTTACCTGTACGACGGTCGGTGTCTGTGCTACGCTGGAAGTTTGCCAACAACACAGGGCCACCACTTGTATGGCGTACGCACATTGTAAAGCCCTTCGTATAACAATAGGCATCAATTTATTGTTCTGCGTACCAGGTAGAAGAGTGGCAGAGATTTCGATAAAATTCCAGAAACCCTCATAACTATGACAAATTTAGATTTATTCTCTCGTTCTATGAATATGGTTGGACCAGTTGTCCTGGTGAGTGAACGTAGGGGTAGTTTGACGGCCTTTGAAACCGTGTAATCTTATGAGAGGCGGCGTGTCGCCGGTCGCATAGCCTTGGCACTCGCACGTGCCAATAGTAACATCAGAGGCATTGGAATGCAGTGTTCCGTGAGAAATGGTTAACGGTGGAGATTTACGAGAAGTTTGTTAACGTGTTCAGACAAGATATATTCACACTAAAATAGTTGACGTTTCGGAATATATTCTGAGGGTCACATCGAAATGAAAAATAGGCGTTTCGGGTGGGGACAGACTGTTGCAGTAAAAACCAATCTGATATGTTATATTGGATCTATTATCTCTGGTTTCCGGCGCGAGGGATCCTACTATTTTCTTTTTATGTTTTACCTTCCTTATTATATATTTATAACGAGCAAACAAATGGAATTACCGATGATGATTTTGGGTTATTGGAAATCAGGGTTCTAGCTATTTATTGTTATGCTTCTCTCGGTTACTATGGCATTTGGGGGCGCACCATACTCGCACAATTTGGGGACGTTAGCGATTGTGTGCATTATTTAAATACCCAGACCGCATACACTAAAAGTTCATATATATATGCATCATAACTACTTGTGCTACCAAAGATATCGAAGTACTTTGCTCATCGCGCGGAGCTGTTTGTCTACACTCCGGAGCGTTTAAATGGCGATCCTTGTCAAATTTCTGCTATTTAATAATACCGTACAAATATGTGAATACAATTTGACTCATTTTGTTCGTGCAAACGGGTATAGTTTCGCATAGACAAGAAATGGCAAGTTCGAACAATGTACTACGGCTAGCTGTCGACATTGTTTTCAACAGTTTCTCATTTGCTCCTCGCCTATCATCGTTTCAATCACTGCAAAATACAATGGTTATTAACTCGACGGATGAAGTGACGTAACGCTTATCACATTTGGGGCAATCGTCACAACTTGACACCTTTTTTGATGTTATTTCGAGACTGTGGGGAATACGCATGCTTAGCTACCGCCGTCTCCTGGATTATAGAGTGGCGCAGGGGACGCACACGCGGGGAGGAAGAAGCGGCGGTACTGTATCCGGGCAGTATGCGAGGATACTAGGCAGATGTGAAGGAGAAGTGTGGGCGAAAAACACTGCATGACAACATATGTAACATTTCCTCAGAATCATAATCATTTTAATAAATGTCAACTTATAAACTTGGAAAATGACATTATATAAAATAATTGCGACACAGTAAGACAGACATCGGCGAGATGCCGTAAACCTCAAAAGCAATAAGTCACTAAATTGCTTCTCTTTTGTAAGCATCAAAACGTATATATAAAACTCTTATAATAAAATATATATATCTTATTTTACACTGTCGGTATGGAAGACCATTGTACAAAAAAATATTCATAAAGTAAATGTCTTTGGAGGTGTAGAAGTTCACAAAGTTTGTAAATGCGAGTTGGCAGTAAACGCCAAGCTCCTACCAGGGTCTCCATACAGACTCTGACTCGGTGGGCACGACGTGCTGCGCGAGAACAGCTGGTTTTACTTGTACTTGCGTTGTCACTGGAACAGGAGAAGTTGTTGCCTGGTACGCAACGGGAGCGAGGGATCCTGCCATCGGACTCACTGCTGACGAACAGGCGGTGTATGATGATGTCGTTGTTGACACAACTGGGCTGGCGAGACTAGATTCCGTACTTGTTGGGCTGCCGAGCGATGAAACTGGACTCAGAGCAGGTGTACCGTGTGCGTAAACTGGGATGAAGTGACTGGGTATTTGTCCGCCTGGGAGGGTTTGTGGCGACAAAAGAACGGCAACTTCGCCGCTTGGTAGATTTCCTGGCATGACTGGGAAAAGTCTGGCCATTGGCGAGTTAGCTTCTAGCTTAGTTGTAATGTTCGTTGTTTGGACTGACATTGTGGGCTGTGAAACTTGAAGTTGTGTGGGTGATGTTGTGGCGATACTGGTTCCCTGTACCGACGTGACGGCAGCTTGAGCGGCGACTGGCGAAGAAGCTTGGTGAACCGTATAATTTTGGCTCATATTTTGACAGCAGTTAGCGAGATGTCCAAGAAGACGTGAGCGGGTATCGGTACCGACACCTTCTACGCTGGTCAGGTAACGTTGAACTTCGCCGAAGCATTCATTGAATCCAGCTCGGTATTTGCTGAGAACGGTGGGATCTTGGTTGAGAGCAGCTCCCATTTGTTGCCTCTGTACGTTTTGAAGATATTTGACAGTCATCTCCAAGATATCAGCTTTTTCCAACTTTGAGTGACGAGAGCTCTATAAAAAAAATAACAGGAATATATATTTAGTGACAAGTTCCGAGAGTATACACGGGAAATGCGATATACTAGTATGCGGAGATCATAGACACGGCTTGACGCAGTATAATGCAGTCGAGGCGCCCGATGAATGGAGATACCAATACAGTGCAGTCCATTGGAATGTAAGACACCGTGAGAAATGAGGAAGCAAAACCAAGAATACTTACATCTTTTTTCATTGCATCAAGTATCAGAGTCTTCAACTGAGAAAGACTTTCGTTAATTCTAGCACGTCGCCTTTTCTCCATGATAGGTTTGGAGGACTGTAAGAGAAAAAAGAAAAGATCATAAGTACCTGTTGTGGATAGATAACTTGGATCATTGCAAGTTATAACACGATTTTAAAAATAATTGTAGAAAACGGGAAAAAAAGTTTGTAAATTATAAGGTAAACTTACTTTGCGGTTTTCGCTAGCTTTGCTGGCTGGCTTGTCTGCAGGCATGTTTGTATGGAAATAGTGTTACACTGGGTATATGAAAAGTAAAGCGCTGAGATTGCGTGCGGTCACAAAGAGATAAACACGAAGTGACTCGGTGAATGTCTGTGTCCGAACTATGGGAATGTGAGGTTGGTGTTTGCTTTTATAGCCGTTTCGCATGCGAACGGCTCGTGTGAATTTTTTTGGCAATATATTCCCACACCGCATTCTTGTACACGCAACCAATCAGCGCTGAGCTGCTGCCTTATTTGCATGAGACGTGTGGTATGGGCTCGCGACCACTTAACACTGATTGGCTGAGGTCTAATAGAGCCTATTGTATGCCGCGCCGTGATTGGTGTAGGCGTTGGTAGCTGTCAATCAGGCGTGTGTAATTAGCACTGACAGTTGACATCTGTTGGCATGCGAAACGTTAAGTGTCAGCCCATTATCTCGACCAAGCACGTGCCGTTTCCTTTGTCGTCGTGCTGCGCTGAGCGTGGTCGATGTGTGGGAAAACCCCGCCCACAGCAGTGGCGAGAAGGCATATTGTAAACAAGCATTTCATATGTAAACAGCCCCGCTCCGTAGCACACTCTTCAAGCCAAAGACCAAATATATTATTGTATTGGATTGCGACGACGACAAATCCCAGAATTCCACTGGTGTCATGTGTCAGAACTCCGAGTTCCATCACTCGCTGCTTTCCCATTCATGTTAGATTGTGATGGAATGCACGGCTGTTAGCGTCGAAAGCCTTACCCATTAAATGCTCAAAACGCGTGGCGTTGGAGACCCCTTCCGTGGGATGTGTTTACTTTATCTTGCGATCTTTCTGAATTATACTACCCACGGTACTTACACATACACGGTGGAAAACAGAACCCTACTCGTACTTTGTACATTTTAATGACTACGCTTTTGATGAGTTTGAGGTCGGGCAATTTAACACAGGAACAATACAGGTAGAATCACGGCACACCTGAAATCTCGATCTGAAATCTGATCATAACACGACTATAGAAGTAGCTTGTGCGCACACTCCGGACAAGAGACTCTTACGCTCTGCCCCCATGTATAATGCATGAATGGCCTGTCACACAACTTTCGTTTGTTCTGCTGAGAATTTTCTCACGGGTCGCCTTTTCAGCTTTCCCACTGTCGGAATGCAATGGAACCCGTTATAAACATTCTTATGCGGGCTTCCCAAGTGCTCATACAGGATACGTCGACAGCCGGTGGCCAGAACCCTGGTTTTCTCAATAGTTTCCTAAATTTTCCCACGGATACTCCGCTTGCCGCGATTTTATTATAATTTAGATTTTTTGTGGATGGGGTTCGATATGGTCGTAGCATTTCATTTCTTAACTGTTCAGAATATGTTTTATTTTCCGACTTTTTGCAACCCCCCCCCCCCTCGCACCCAGCTACATTAGTGGTACCCCGGGAATCAGTCCAATCTCAGGCCTTGCAAATCACGTATGTCGCAGGCACGTATCGCGCTGCGTAGGAACAACTTTTCAGTTCTCATTGGCTATTTGACGAATTAACGCAAAATATGTTTTTAAACAGAGAAATGTTTTGTTTTTTCTCTCGCTTATTTGAGGGTTTAAGTGTTGACCCGGGGTTAATGTGCACAAGCCGTTAACAGGTGATGGGGGGATAGCGCGTACTGTCCGTGTACTTGTTACTGTTAAAGTCGGTGCACTCATAACAGGTGCAAGTGCATTGGTATGTTCCCCTGTAATTGGCTTACGCCCAAACTCGCACTGGCATATTACTCTCACTCATTTGTGGACGCATTTATTTCAATTACTTATTAAAAAAAGCAAAACAAATAATTTCTTTTATCTTTATATTTAGAATAGCAACAATCATTTTAAAATGTTAGAAAAGAAGTTGTACATGTATTTCTAAATTTCTTTTTTTTTAAACGGGGTGTTTAATACCCAACCAACGGAAGCAATACATCCGATGATGCAATAGAAGTTTTTTTCACACGTTGTGGTGTTGTTTTCCTTTGGAGGTCATGGGAAAGTAAAAAGGGCAATTGTTGAAGCAGTATAAAAGTGAGATTTGTATATGCAACGCAACACTATACGCACCGACTCTACCGTGATGGCTACCGTTCCAGTCACGCTTGTAGCCAGCCACGACACGCCACCCCCGTGCTTTCCGCGTATATACGATGGCAGCGATTGTCCATCAAACACGTCTATATGCATATTATTGTTTTCGCTAACAATTATTCTTCGACAAGCAAGACACATTAGTATATAATGCAAACACACTTTGGGCGTGTAATAATAATCGTACGGTAAATATTGCATTGCAGCAAGGTTGTAGTACATCTTGCCTAACTCTGCAACTTCGCCCTTTTTTCGCCGCACCGGTGCTTATGATCAACCTGCAATTCTCGTTTGTTTGTTTTTTGTTATTTTATTTGAACATGTGATTTTTTTTATAAACGCGTTTTATTGTGTATAGGTATGGATGTACTCCAGCAATTAGTGCGATAACTCACCTACATGTCAACCGCTGCGTCAAAAAACTTTTTCTCGGATGTTTCTACTTTTGAAAAAATAAAAAGTAGTTTTTTGTTTTTGTTTTTTTTTTCACAAAAAGGGAACTTGAGAAGAAAAAAACTGAGAGTGAAGATGAGATTTGTTTTTAAGAAGAGCGACGTGACATCTGGTGGGGTGGAGGAATTTTCTAACTGTATTGGTATGTGGGATGGGAGTGAAGTGAAAGAACGCGAGATCGCAGTGCGTGGGAACGTGTCCCCCGATCCCTTTATCTACTGGTATTGACTCAGCCTCATAGCGTCTATCGTATACTCTTTGAATAAGAACAATGAACATGCTTATGCCAGTATTGTGTGCAAGCTTCGTTCCCACGGTGGTGTACAATGGTGTCCAATTCATATGCAAAAAATTCAAAATGGCGGGAAGAAGCCAAGTGAATGTGTTTCCTAATCATTCGGCCATTGTTTCCTCGCATGCCATTATACGGGTTTACTTTTCTCGTAACAAAACGCCTATACGGTGTGGTCACGTGGGTCCACGTGCCGTTGCTCTTCGTACTTTCCAATAATTTCCCATCGACCACGTTCCGTAACTATTAGCGCATTCCAATACAGACCAAATCAGGATAAGCACTCAGTCGTGTGAACAAAATATAAACCCATCTTTTGTTTTTTCCCCGATTATATTTGCTCTTGCATCAGTGGAGCGACCGTGAAAGCGATCCCCATCCAAGATTTTCAGTACACCTATCTAAAGAATGAACGACAATTTGTGTCTTCTTTTAGTAGTAATTACTAATTTAGTACGCTCGATAATGATCTACTTAATTCGACATCCGACACAATGTCCCAGTCGGAAACTTTCCCACAAGAACAGTTTGGGTCTGATGGCCCTCCGCTAAGCCGGCGACATGTAAAATGCGCGAAACTTGCAAAGCAATAACTTGCGACAACATTGCCGTTCTATTTATCAAAATACAACATTGTGCACTGAGCACATAACCTATATCTAATTACAGTTATCGAAACGATAATAACACCACCATACTACACAGACACGTAATTTACAACGTGCACGACTAAGTTAGACTCAAACAATTATTAAAAAAACAAAAAAAACGGGCAGCTGACTCGAGTTTGGTGGTCGCATTTTACCGTTACATAAAAAAAGCTTCGTATATGAAAACGGAAAAATCCATATTTTCTTATATGTGCGTATTTTATGATGCGAAATGTATTAGACGTATTCGACAGAAGGGAGGACCCTATACGACGCTGGCGCGTGTCTGTATAATAAGTTACCGGGCGACTGCTTGGGGGCATGGCCTTTCCCACAGGATTCTAATGAAAGACTTCCGAACGACGCTACGCGAGTAATCATTGTAGTTACGATTTACGGACGTGTTATCCTTATCTTAATAATTCCTCACTACGAGACGTTTGGACAGAGTTTATGACTGATACCCGCCTATAAGCGTACACACTCGTTCGCCCTGTCGCAATACACTGCAATATATCATTCCACCACGCTCCAAGTTTACCACGCACTCGTTCCCGCTGATCGCACAAACATAACAAATCTCGTAGTATAAGGCATTATTTTTGGTAATTTCCTAAACATCGTATTTGTTATTTATTCTGACTATGCGTGAGTGTTTATCTCCGACTCCCCGTTATATGGATTGTTATCGCTTAGTTGCAAAACAAACCAACTGACAAACAGTCTACACAAAACACGCAAAACGCACCTCTATTGATATCCCGCGATCCGTGAACACAACCACAAAGTTAGCACAAAGTTTGATATTCTCACCACGTATATTTTCAGAGGGGAAAATCGTTTCACGCAACCCACCCGAGAGTCGATATTTCAGTCCTACCACCCTGTTATTTGCCAATGACAACGTTTCGAAGGATTGTCTCTTTAAAAAAAACACATGGGAAGAGCAAACACATTAGCCTCACTCTGGAAGTATGTTGATACTGAGAAGTGTACCGCTCAACTCATTGTTTTCATGTTTATATAATGTATTTTAACATATTTACTCATGATATCAACGGCATCCGGGCATCTAAGATACTAAGAAGATCACGCTCTTACAATGTTTTTCGTCTCACCCAACACGTCAAATTAAATATTCAGTAAATTGAATCAAAATTGAGTAGAACAAGAACCGTTGAATAACTCATTTTTTTATTTGTTTACGAAAATCCGTAAGGGGTTCTTCCATTATTGTATTTGCAGTTTTCGACTTTTCGCCGACTTTTCATAAATTTAGAAATAAAACACGCATTTGTTCAATTATCGGAGAGTACTGCCACTCGCTATTACTGCCACTCTCTATCGTCATGACAACGACATTAGTTCTCATTTCTGTATCACGAAAAATGAATATATTTCCTTTGCTTGGAGAAATGACGAGAGCTAAACATTTGGGCAGATGGCCGGATGGTCGGATAAAATCAACATGTGAAATTTATTAAAATGATTGGGGCACACATACGTATGTTGTTGTTGACGCGTGGCTGGGGCCTTTCCTACGCACCTGCGTAATGCTCTTACACGCACTTCCGTTTTTCTTTTGTATGTTCCTCCACTAAA